CAGCTCGACGTTACTCTTACCAGTATTGGTTTTTGCTGCGTATATAAATCTTAATTAGTATTAACTTAAATTAAATTTGTTAATATGTTTGTTTGTTCATATGTACATATATATAAATTTAAAAGTCAGGAATATATAATACACTTATTATTATTGCTGCAATCTGTAACAGTGTGCTTTACATTTATTAAAAATCACATGAAAATTTTACAGGACAGGATAGCTGCATTCGGAAGCAATTTTGCAGAAATTCTTGCCGCGCGGCAAACGGAAATAGCCCTCTTCACCCCAGACCTTATCCCACGAGTTCTTCACAATCCAATAATCCTGACCATCTTCAGTTCCATAACCCACGACTAAGACTGAATGATTCGGTTCGTCTTTATTACACTCTTCGTCCGCATAAATACCCTTCTTATACAAAAGCAAAGTCTCCAAAGCATTCATAGAGCATGCTAATGGTCCCAACGTCGCAACGACTTTCTTCATAGTTTCTTCATCATTTGGCGAAATAATTGAAAAACCTTGCAATTCAGCCGCTTTAAATGCTTTCCTATACGAGCAAGTGTTCTTTTTATCAACATAAGGATATTTCGCTCCATGAGCCAAACCCTTTTGTCGAGAAATAAACTCAAAACCGTATTCTTGATAACCGCCATCACAACCATTTAAGCCGTAGGCTTTTTCACCACAATCTACCAAATTTTGTTCGCTTAGATGAATCAACTTTCCCGATTTTCGGAACGAATGACTTTCAAGAGCTCCAGTTACGGCAAAAGCCCAACAAGATCCACATTTGCCTTGAAATTTAACCGGAGTAACTCCACCGTGCTCACGCCAATCGAAAGAATCAGGAATTTTCGCTGTAGTGTTTAGTTTTAAAGCTAAACGACGATTTTTGACTTTGGCTCTATTGCGACAGAAATATACCAGAACTAAGTTCGACTTTTCATAATTTGCTTACTTATAAACGAAAAGAAACTTACTCTGCTTGAGACGATTTATGATTGCCGGTAAGTTGGGATAAAAACTCTTCCTTAGTGAGATCAGCAAAAGCATTTAAAGCCAATTCATAACCAGCATGCAACTGATTTTCAGCCTCCACTAAAGCTTTACGTGCATTAAAAATACCTTCGCGTAGGGTACGCTCAGCAGTTGTAGCATAGCTTTTTCCAGTTTGTTTCTATAAATTCGAAATTAGATAATTGATTAATTCGCAGAAACTTTGACTTTTCTATCATGCATTCAGAATAAAGATATGTATTAAAGCTCAGATAATTGACGGGTGAACAAAGTATACCTTATTGACGAAGCATGAAATCGAAGGAGAGTTAGAGAGTGAGGGAAACTATTTCTAATTTCATTCTCCACTGTCCACAATTTAGTACAGCATCGTTAAACTCATGAAGAAATTCAGTCTATAATTTTATGCTATAGCGTTTCATTCTTCGTAGTTCCTCGACTAAATTATACAAAGTTTTTAAAAAACCAAAGAACACTTAAAAGTGTAGAGTGAGGTAATGAGACGTTTGAGCGAAACTAATATCAAGACAAAATTCTTTGCTTTCACTTTGCAAAGGATCCACGAAGGTAGGGAGGCTAGGAAAAGCTATCATTAAAATGTAAGTCGTGGAGAATGGAGATTTTTCCGAAAATCAATTTTCTTTTTTTCTTACCTTAGTAGATGGTTTGAACTCGTTAAAAATTGTGGAAAAAGTTGATTAATTTTAACAAATTTTTCTTTAAAATTCCCAGGTCATCTCTAAGCGTTCCGAAGAAAATACTTATGACAAATAAACCTTTGCTGATAAGCTTTTTATACGGTAAAGCCTTTCATATGTTGGTTTCTAATTTCTCTAAAACGCTAACTATTTTGTTACCCCATTGCCTTTGGATTATGTCTTTCTTACTATTTTAAGAAACTCATGTAAGCAAGAACTGGGGGGAGCATTGTATTCTGAAATGGTCAAATAAAAAGTATAAAACGACAATATCGAGGAGTTATTCAGAAAGTTTATATGAATTGATGTATTTTATTCCCTACAGTAGTTGTAGTACAAGGGCATATCAAATTTACGCGGCTTTATGCAATACGCAACAGAATTTGAGATGGACATGCCACCTATTATACCGATCGATTTTCAAAATCATTTTCTGAATCGAACTAAGCTTGTCTGTTCGTCTGTCTGAATTGATTCCTCGTGCTCTACAGATCGTAATTTTCTAGATATTTTGATGAAGCTTGTTGCACTAACGTCTTTTGGCCCAAGTGCAAATGCTGTTTAAAACGACTTGGACCTGGCCACTTTTTTGACCGCGTCCCATATAACGGAAAAGTTTTGTAAAGTCTAGGTCTAGATGCACTATTATGTTTTTCTTTTATTGAAAGTGAATGCTATTTAGATATATGCAAATTATTATTATCTATGACCTTTTATGAGCTTTACAGAATTTCATAAATTAAATTGGGGTAGAATTTCGAAAAACTTTTTCAAGTGGTTTGGTTGAAAAGTCTTCTTTTGAAGTCAGCTTTACACTAGATTGCCGAATGATGAGTATATACTTATTTTGTCTGATGTACTTGACTCAAATATGAAAATTGTAGTTTTTTAAAAAAATTACATTTTGCTTTTCAAGAAGAAAATTTAGTCCAAAATCTTTGTTCAAACGAACTCCGTTTTTAATATACATTTTTCGAAGATTTTTTTATTGCATTTAGCAGGATTTAGGCGCTGTTGCCTTTATTTCCTTTGCGTGATACCTGCACTTGACAATTCAACCATCTTGACGTCAAAGTTGATGACAAATTTATCTGGTTTATTCGATATGTAATGAACAGTTTCAGCTGAGAATAATCGACCATCGGACGTTATGTCTGCAACAGGTTTACAACAAATAAGTCCCCTTGGCTCACTTCGGCCAAAAATAGGCATAGCACATAAGGGTACTTGAAAGTAAGGGTGGGTAATAACGCTCCACCAATCTATCGAGTCTTATAACTCCTTTATTAAATTTGAAGACGACGTCTTAATTTTTGCATCCCGGGAAATGTTTACCATATACAGACGGACGGACGAGCATGACTATGCAAACGCAGAAACTGACATACGCATCAAGAATATCAATACACTATATAGTCTCTGAAATTTCCATGTTTCGTTTACATGTTGCGAATGTTTTGACAAAATAAATATAGCTTGAAACTTCGAAAGTGGATATAAAAATTGTATTATTATTAACTTAATCGGAGAAATAAACCTAAGGTTATCGGCTCTATTGCACAATAATCACTTGTATTCGTTTTGATCAGTTTTTCTTCTTAACGACTTTGTCTGCTGTCTTTCTATCCTCGCATAACTCATGTTTTCCAATTATAATATGAATTAAAACTACAGCTCTGTCGCAAGTCTAACAATTTAACTTTATACGAATATATTAAAAAAATAAATAGTAGTTCCAAACAAAAGTATACTCACTGCAAAATCATAAAAATCTTTCACGTCCTGAACGAAAGGAACTTTTTCCAATTGATTAACAACTTCGTCGTACCCTTCTTGAATTGTTTTACCGATATTATCGATGCCGTCTTGAAGAGACTTTCCAAAATCTCCAAATTGACATGAACCGAAGGCAAAGAATAACATCAACAGCATACAAATCACTTTCATTTTTACTGTTCAAACAAAAAATCGAATTTTTTTAATTTCAATTCGTGTAAAACAAAAACTACCTTTAGCAAGTAAAGTCAATTTAAAAATATTGTGATCAAAAGTTTCTCTAGTCATTTTTATATATAAACACTAGAATGGCTAGTGTTCTTACGATGATTTATCAGCCAATTGATTGCACACATTTTACCCCACAATTAATGCAAATTATAAAAAAAATTAAAAAAAAAAATATATATATAGTATATTTATTCAATCTGACCATATATCTGAGTAGCACCCTACACCTATGCCGGCCGGTACAAATTGCATTCTTTCGACAAATTTAATTCCGTCGATCATTTACCTCAAAAATATATTATTTGGAGAGCGATACAAAAATATATTATTTGGAATACTATACTATTACAATGTTATATAGAGATTATAACATTAAATATATTTTATTGAATTTTTTAAATTATAATAAAACAAATATACGCAATGTTAGGTGCAAACTAGTTTCAAATCAAGATTAATATTTTCTCAAAGTATTTTAATCGCGCAAAATATTATTAAATAATTGAAACTTAATAGTAAGTAATGACGAAAGAGATAAGTAAAGGAGAACAAGAAAGAAAATTAAGTTCGGTCGAGACCGAATCTTTTATCACCCATCACCGTTTACCCCCAAAAAAGACGAACGAAGTAAAAGAACAAAATTTCCATGCTCTGTAATACGAAGTGAGCACAGCTGATTTGTTCCATTTCCAAAATTAAAGTTTTTGTTGCATAGACATTTGGGCGTTGTAGGCGTTTCGCCACAAATACTACAAAGTTGCGCCAACAGACAAATGAACAGACGAATAGGCGGACATGCATTCCAAACTTGAAACTTTAAGGGCTTTTGATATTGAAAAAACAATTAAATTAAATAGACAATTAATATCGGGTAGGCGTGATCAATTTTTTCCATTTTTGTACACAAATGCCACAGCATCACCCATAGTATATGCGTTCAAATTTTTGTATATTTATTTGTTACATTGTCTGTTGCTTTGTACATTTATTTTTGCACATTTACTTGTTGAGTAATAAGCGAAAAAGCAATTTTTCTTTCCTTTCGAAAAAAAGAGGTGTTCTCATTTTACGCAGTGATACGGACGTGTCCTTTGATCGATTTGGCCCATTTTTAATACCAATCTAGGAAGCGAGATATTTAATTTTATTAGCTGTTCAGGGAAATGAGCAAAAATCTGGTGTCTTTGTGTGGGAAGTTTGATAAAATCAAGTCAATGTTCAATGAATGTCGTTATATAGAACACTCACCTTCTCCCCCAGCCTGTACAAGACCTACTCGTAGTGTAAGGTGTGCTATTTCACCTGCGCCTTTGCCTAAATCTGATTCGCCGATTCATATAAGTGCTCCATCCTTGTCTACGAAGAAGGTTATCGTTTCCGCTATCGTCGAGTTGGCTGCTAATAAAAAAGCTCCAAATAAGTTATAAAGCTCTCCTCGTTCTAGCTGTACTGAAGTGGCAAGGGTGTCTCCTCCCAGTGGTGCCATTCAGACTACTCTGTGTACATACCCAAAAAATATTAATAAAATTAACAATTTCGCCTCTGCCACTGGCTCTTACGGGATGTCTGCTAGTCACCATGCTGGGCAAGCTATGAAAGGCAATATTCGTGTCATGACTTGCATCTGTCATCTCTGCGGACAACATGAAAAGTTGTCTGGCTATAAAAGTGCCATCTGTCAATTTGAAGAGTGTAAATATTTTCAAACTGGCTCCAACTCAACCTAGAGTTACCTCGTCTTTCAAAGTGTTAGTTCCGACTAAAATCATGAAAACTTTGTTAAACAAACCATTGTGGCCACTTGGATTCTTAGTTAAGGAATTCATTCCTCGGGATCGAGTCCGTAATATTAATTCGGTAGCTCTTCCATCCTCAAAAAAACTAAATGTTTTTTCAGGCCCAGCAACTTGCATTTATCAAAATGTCAGGGGCCTAAACTCAAAAATTCAGTGAGCAAAGAGTTTTCCTGTTTGGTCATCACTGAAACTTGATTAAAGCCTGATTTACATTCGTCGGAACTTTTTCACAATTCTTTTCGGGTTTTCAGAAAAGATCGGTTGTATCGCACTGGTGGTGGTGTGTTAATTGCCAATTTTTGCTGCGGTCCCGTCCTATTTAATTCAATTTCCTACTCCTCCCGTCATTGAATTTATTGCCATTCGCCATATTGCTCCTACATTCCCCCAAACGTGGATATATCCCTTTATAAGAAATATGCTGCCATCATTTGTGATGTGGCTGAATAGTCAAAACCTATTATTTCGCGCAGATTTCTTTGAATTGCTCCCAGCCCTTTGGAACCTCAAATCCCTTTGCTGAATACTTCCGATAAGATTTTTCAACCGCTGATTCCGATTTAACTGTTAATTATCCGTATTTGATCATTGGCCCGGTTTCGACTCCTAACTTGGTCATTTCAAAAAACGATGTTTTGCGTAGCTTGAGGTCTCTACAATTTTTTTTTAGGCTTGGGCCTGACGGCATTCCATCATGTAAACTCAAATCATGCTCCAACGAGCTATGTGATGTTATTTAAATGATTTTTAACCAGTCCTTGAAATGAGGTGGTTTTCCTTTGTGTTGAAAAAGTAGTCTCCTTATTCCATTGAGAACTATAGAGGCATCGCCAAGCTCAGTGTCTTATCTAAATTGCTTGAGCGAATTGTTAATCAGTATCTACCTTTTGTTCTTAAACCTTGTGTTTCACCATTCCACCATTTATTGATCTTCAAACTCCATCCTCCGTCTTCCCCTTCTACTTAGTGAAATAAATTAGCTCGTATCTGAATACCAGATCATTGAGGATTCTGTTTAACATCATCACCTGAATTCATCGTGAATTTCTCATAACGTCTAGCGTCCCTCAAAGCAGCCAATTAGGACCCCTTTTATTTAATTTATTCATTAATGATCTCCCCTGGGTGATTAAATCCAGCCAGATTTTAAAGTACGCTGATGACTTCCTTCCGCTCGACGACGCTCTTTTCTTCCTTCGCGTTCGAATCACTATCATTACATGGTGTTTGTTAAATTTTATGAAATTATGTCTAAAGAAATACAAGAAGCCGTCTTTCTGATACTGAGTTTTTCATTGATTCAAACAAGTTGGGAAACATAAATTTGTTCACTGATTTAGGGGTTCTATGCGACGTTTTAGTTTACTCATTGAGCTCTCCTTAAGTAAAGCTAGGTCCGCGCTGCTATTCGTTAAGAGGTGGTCTAAAGACCTTGAAGTACCTTACATTAGCAAAATGTTATACACACATAGACCAATGCTTGGATATGCCTCTGTTGCCTTCCTATAAATGTTATCTAAGGGCCGTTTGCCCTTAGGAATTTGGGACCCGCTTTTCTCTCTGTCTCCTTGTGAAAATAGGTTGCTCCTGTCATCCTTTGTGTTGGAAAAGTAGTCCCCATATTCCAATTCACATATGTGGCAATAGACATCACGTTGAGAACTTTTTACTTACTCAATAAAACATCCAATGATTTATCAAAAGCATTTTTTATTTATGCTTAACATTGCTTAACATTGCTTAACAATGCTTACCAATGTCCATTTAGTTGAGTCAATGTAAATAAAATTATGAGGTGTTTAAGCCGTTTACAATTGTTTGAAGAAACCTCCATGTTGTCCGATTCTCCACTGATTTCATTTTGATGGCGGACTTCTTTAATTTAAATATAAAATTTTGAACATAAGTTACAAACGTATTAACATATTTCTATTATATTTGATTTACCTTTAAAATGATGACTTATTTTCAACTGTTTCTTGCACCCAGTTTTTTCCACTCAGCAACAAATTGATGGTGAAGCCCAGATGATGTGATCGGTGGCTTCTTCCATTTTATAGACTACATTTCAATTTGCAATTTGGTTCTGTGTCGATTGCAGGTGTGTAGCGCCTCTGCGCTGCTTGTGTACTTGCTTTTTT